AAGCTAACCTGACTTGTAAAATTGATTGAAACCGACTCGACTCAAAATTGTCTGTGATTTAAGCAGTAGTGTCCGAAACCAACTTGAGTCCGGACTGGTGTTAACCTAAACCCGAGTTGAATCTAGAAATTGTGGATCTAAACCTGATTTGAGAATGACATGAATCCGAATTGAACATATAATATAATAATTGAACCTGACTTACATCCAACTGATATGAACCGAACCCGAGATTAACCTGGAAAATAATTGGTATTACCCGGCCTGTTATCAACCTTACTTATAATTGACTCAACCTATAAATAGTTTATTGACCTGATTTGATATTTAACTGACTTGATGTTTACCTAACTTATAAGTTACAATTGATGAAGTTGTGAGATTTTGACTTTATAATAAACTATGATAAAAAAAATATGATTACTTTTAAAGTTAAAACAAATTGTTAGTTATGATAATTAAATTAATAAATTTATTTTTATATTAGTTATAATTCTTATATTATAAATATTAATTATAATCATTAAATTAATTTCATTATATAAGTATTTATTGAACATGATTTTATTAGATTATATAAAATTAATTTAAATATTTATAAGTTTAATTTATTTTTCATGTAATAATTAATTAATAATTTAATATAATTTAACATAAGATTTTAAAATATACATATAAGAGGAATTTATTTGAGATTATATATATATAACGTGGGTGGTGGGAGAAAGCTCTTTTTGTTGTGGGAAAATTTTTAATTTTATTTGGGAATTTAGGATGAAATTGGGAATAGAGGGAAATTAAGAAATTTTGGGAATAGAGAAAATTGGGAAGTTGGCGCCAAGTGGGATGTGATAAGTGTCCAATAAGATTTTTTGGGTTAATTAAGCTTGCAATCCTCCAACAGTTATCATTTTTCTACTTTGTAAATTAATTTTTTTCTTTCATTTTAGTCATGGTTTAATTGTAAATCGCTTCTTGAATTTTCAATTCGATGAAATTTAATCCTGTATATATTATAATTACTTTTAATTTTCCCTTCTCTCTCCATGCATTATTAATGTAAATGTTAATTTTAGAATCTTTTATTTTAGTCACTCATGTTTAATTATAGACTTATATAAGCTTGAATGTATATATATACACACATATTTTATACTTAGATATTTATATACTTATGTACATACATCATATATACATATATATATATATATAATATTAATATATATACATCTATTATTTTTGCTTTTATTTTTTAATAAATTATGACATGTATAAATATATGTATATATATACATGCATCATACATGCATGCATTACACACACATACATGTATCATACATGCATCATACATATATACATACATGCATATATATTCTTATACCATATAGTTTATATACTTATATATTATATACTTATATATATACTTATGCTATAGTTTATATAGTTTATATACATATGTACATACATACATATATATATATATATATTTATTTATACCATATAGTTTATATACTTATATGTAAACTTATATACTTATGCTATATAGTTTATATACATACATATACTATATAATTTATATAGTTTATAGTTTATATTTTTTTGACTTGATATTTTATAGTTTATATATTTTATACTTTTATATAAACTATAAAGTATAAGTATATAAACTATAGTATATATATATTATGTAAATATATTATAAGTATAATGTATACCTATATTATATACTTATATAAGTATATACTTATATTGTATGTATAATTATAATGTACATTATAATATATATACATGTATTATATTATCATATCATTCATCATATATATTATATTATCATATAATATATACATTAATATATATTATAATTTTTTCAATTTTTTCCTCAACTTTTGAAATGAATGCAATTCAACCTATTTTATAAATTTTCTTCACATTTTATAATTATTTCCATTTGACCCTCTTATGTTGTTTAATTTATTTAAATTTTAATTTGTAATTTCATAGTTATTCAATTTAGTCCTTAAAATTATATTTGTATATGAAATTGGCACATACATATTTATATTTTTGTAATTTACTTCATACCCTATAAATAACATAATAAACTTTATTTTAAATTTTATAAATTGTATTATAATCTCCAAACCCTATAAACTTTTGTTCACCAACTTTTTAAATGGATACAATTTATTCCAATTATATATTAATTTCAACTTCACATTTTAAAATTATTTCGATTTGATTCATCATCAATACATGTTGTTCAATTTATTTAAATTTTTTGTTTGTAATTTCATGTTTTTTCAATTTAGTCCTTCAAATTATATTTTTATCAAAATTGATCCATAATTATTTATATATATTTTAATTTACTCTCTAAATCATATACAGTTACAAATTGCAATTCAACGTTCGTAAAAGTCGACAAATAATTAATCCAAAATAAAAAATACTACTTGAAGTCAATCCATATCCGGTAAGATCCGACCTGAATTTTGTATGTCAATGATGTGAACCGATCTGAACGAGATCCGACTAAAGTCCATCCAAACCTGAATTAATCTAGTATTTAACTGCATATACCTAGACCATTTTTACCTGAATTGACATATATCCGAACTGAAATTAACCCGACCTGAAGCCGAACTGAATCTAATGTCAAATCAACCTGAAAATGACCCGAACTGGTTTGACCTGGACCCAATCTGATCCGATTCAAACCATCAAATTGACCTGACACAACCTGTATATGATTTTACCTGACCTGACAGGATCCGACTGAAATCGAACAATTACCTGATTTTACATCCCTACATAAAGCACATATACAAAAGAAATAGTTGAAATGAAAGAGAAGAAAATTTATTTTTTTGAAGCGGAATAAAATTTACAGTATTTTAGAAAATGCCCAAAGCACATAACGTCTTCTTAGAAAACGGTTGGAACAGTCGACGCCTTCTTAGAAAACGGTTGGAACAGTCGACGTCTTCATGCTTTCCATCATTACACTTCTATGGAAAGCTATTGTCATAACTCATATTATCTATTCTTTTTTCCCCCCAAATCGCCATCGAAGCAATTTTTCCGAATCTAACAGTAAACGACATGGATCCTACTTCTATAGGAAACTAGGGTGAACTGCCCCTCTATGCCGGGGATTCATATATATTTTTATTCATGTCTTTAAATATAATAAAACTGAATTTTAAATAAATTTTATGTAGTTAATCTGCAATAATAATACCATTGAAATATTATAATTCTCAATTACATAAATTGACTTATAAGTTAAAGTATAGACACATCATTTAAAATATTTAACATAAGAAATATTCTTAACAAGTATTTACTTTAAACTGATTTACGAATGACTTATATGTGTTTAGTATGTAAACTTTAGTATATATTTTGGGATTGTTTTGATAAATTTGTAAATGATGTTTCAATTTGTGAACTTATCTTAAAATGATAGTAAACTTAATGGCTTGAAACCAAAATTATTTGAATAATATGAAAAAAAATCTAGTAGTGGTTGCTTAAATAATCAAATGTGACACTTTAGACCATTTGATTTAGGATGTTACAAACTTAATAGTTTAATAAAAAGTATTTTATTTATTCTCATATAAAATAATATTTTAATACAAGAAACTATTATCTTTCGTTCATTTACTTCTCTCTCTTTTCTTTTTCTCCGCTACTTTTCCTTCATTTACCATAAAAAAACTTAAAAGTAAATATATTATTATATGGCCTCTCATCATCACGTCATTTATAGTCATAACTATTAAAATCACTCATATTTCTTCTTTTCGTTCATGTTATTTTCTTCGAGGATAAGTCTTGTTTTTCCCCATGTGAACATTAAATTAGGTGGTTAGTTGAATTATAAGTGGATTAATAACAAGGAAGAAAAAATGGAGTATTTTTTAATGATATGGTAAATAATGTTTTTGAAATAATTTCTAAGTAAAAAAAAAGAAAAAGAAAATAAAAGTCCACCACCTTGCAACTTAAGTTGTTTATAGTATTTATATATTCAAAACCAAGCTTAAGTTCGAGTTTCTTCCATATATATTTCTTAAAAAATATTTCAATATTAGAATATTAAAGAATATAGGTACAAATAGAAAACTATACTAAAGACACATAAATTACTCAAATCAAATATTAATATATTTAAACAGTTCGAATTCAGCTAAAAAAATATCTAATCAAATTCAAGTCCTTTTTTTTTGGTTGGAAAGTTTGAATAGATAGAATGAAGTACTGATTTGGTAGGTATTCTTAGTATATATCTAATAGGGATGGGGGACTTTGGGGTATGGTGGTACCCTGCAATCTGCTTAAGACAAAACCAGACCAACCCTTTTTGCCCACCCCTCCTCCTTTCCTTTTCTCATCCCATCATCAATTCCTCACCATTATCATCTTTCTTCTTTTTCTTGTACCTTCTTACGATGATACATGTCTCCCGGCCAAAAGCCTGATTGATTTTCCTTTGACACATTTTAACTGGGCTTTGTTTCATGAGGGTTTAATCTAAAAACTAATTTACAGTAAGTTTTAAAGTTAAAATGTTATCATGTTAAATATAAAAAAAATATATAACTAATAATAATTTTGATTACAATCGATAATATTATATTGCTACTATAAAAGATTATATAATAGATGGTAATTTCTGTTACAATAAAAATATATTGACAGTAACCTTTTAAGTTTCAACTAGAATAATTATGTAATTTAAAAAATGTTAAGACCTTTTTAACTTATATTAATATGTTGTATTTTAAATTTATCTTCAATAGTTATTTTTTTATTAATCTATAAAGTGATATATGTTCAAAGATAACTTTCAACCCTTTGACATTTAAGACTCATATTCTTGGCATTCTTGATGCTCGAACCTAGAATTTCAAGTAATATCAATAATTCTTTTACTAGGTATATTGATTCGTGCAACTTCAATAATCAAGGTATTGAATAAGGGGAAATTTGTAAAACTTGAAAAATTTTCATTGATTTTTACGAAGTAGTTGAAGAAGAAAATGGTACAAACAAAACGAACCCCCATTAGGGTAGGGAAAAAGAAACATCAATCTTCAATCAACTTAGCAAGAAAATATAAGGAAAACGAAAAAGGAAAAGATAGGAACTTTGAGTTCCTTGTCTGATGATTCTACCAAACTGGCCTTGATCTCTTGGATCAAATGGCCGGAGGGCAGATCTGTGGAACTGTAAACGCATCATTTGTTCATCTCTTGGTAGCTTTCAGGCTCGTAGTTTCCTTTGTCTCTTTGAACCCAATTGAATGTGGGAGAAGATCGAGAGGAGACGTTACTGGGGAACCCCAAGACCTAAACTTTCTTGTGAGGAACTTGTCATATTGCTTTGAAGTTCAGTATCAAAAAATGGCAACATCCCATCATCATCACTCTGACAATAATAAACAACAGATTTGTTTAGATCCCAATGAGAAAAAATACATCATTCAAAGATTGTTGAAAAAGAAATAGATGAATGATGATGGATCAATGCAAACCTTACAGAAACAGAAGGGAGGTCCACAGGAATCAAGGAAATCTTCAACGTGCCATCCTGGTAGCATCTCTATCAAGTACTTAGATATGCTACTCGTTGAGCCATCTCCTTCATTTCCTAACAAGTTATTTTCTCCATTGCTTTTGTTAACCAAAGCTGCTGCTGTTGTTGCAGATGGATTGAAATTTGATTGAAACTTGAATTCAGGGACTGAATCACAACCGTTGGATTGTGTGTAGATGGCAGATGTTGAAGAAAGCTTAACCCCTGTAAGAAGGAATCTGTTACGTTTTTGGGTATGCTCGTTTGTAGAGTGAATTGAAAAATCACAATCTCTGCATAGAATTGCTCTATCTTGTTGACAAAAGAAGAAAACTCGTTTCTCCTAAAAAAAGAAAATGAAAAGAAAAACAAAACCCAACAATCAAAACAATATAACGAAGAAGATCATAAAAAAGAAAATCAATGGAAGAACCTGACAAATATCGCAAAGAGGGACTTGTTTAGAAGGGCAAATATGGAGGGTAAAACGTTGGTGCTTAGAAGCAAGCTTGTTGGCGTGGTGGACGCGGTGGTCACAGGAATCGCAGAGGGCGGCCTCATCGGCGGTGCAGAAGACGGTGGCCTCCTTTTTGTTACAAACATCGCACTGAATCTTCATTTTTTTTTGCCGATCTTTGGCTGAAAAAAGAAGGTTATAAGTTTATGTCTTCAGAGTAAATAAGATAACGGGGATTCGTATTTAGGAATTGGGATGCTGTAAGAATGGAGAGAGACGGAAATATGGGTAGGTTGCTTCACTTTGAACGGTGATTTTTGTGGCATTATTACATAAAAAACCCTATTAATTTTTTTTAAGAGTACCTTAGTATATTGGTTTGAAAAATATCCCTAAACTGAACACATAAGATTAATTCGTGTCCTACCAAGCACGAGAACAAGTATTGCATTTTACAAGATGTGAGGTACGTGCAACGTGGAGCATACTTTCTAGAGGATGCAATTTAATATGTATATTTAATACCTCATGTTTAGCACAAATCGAGGTCCCCGAGATATTGAAAATATAGTTCGCAGAAGATTTGAGATTTAAAATTTGAAAAAAATCTCAGAAGCTCGCACTTCATAAAACGCGAGGTACCTTTAACCTCACTTCGGGGCAGTGAGAGGACGTCTATAAATAGGGGGACCCACCCGAAATTTATCACACCTTTACTTAAAAAAAACTCTCACATATATTTTCTCTCTGATATTATAATGGCGAGATTGTCGACAGTCATTTTCGTCCGAGTTGATATTATTATATTATTATTACTATTATTACTATTTTTATATATAATATATTATATTATTAAGTATTATTATTATTATTAAATTATTATAAGATACGAAGGCCCAATTACAAGTGTGAAAGCCCAAAATCCGATCCAGGCCCAATAGTAGACCTAAAGGCCCATTTACATACCAAACCCGATCCATAACCCAAGTTGACCCGAGACCCGATCCGGCCCAGATGACCTGAATGCATCTAGGGTTTCATCATTTTCTCCAACAACCGCCAATGATCTCATCCGTTGGATCTCTCCAGATCCAACGGTCCAGATTTCTTCTAGAAGAAACCCTAGGGTATCATAACTCTAGGGCTATGTTCGGTCGCCGCCTCCAGATGGTCCGTTCCATCTGCTGCCACGATGTCGCCGCCTTGCCAGAAGATTTCGGAGACACCAGGAGAGCCGCACACGTCACAACCCTAGGGTGAGTCACCACCGTAGCTTCGGTGACTCACCGAAGGGCACCCTTGTGACCGTTCCGAAGGAAGCACTATGGTGGCCTATAAAAGGCCACCGAACCTGCAAAAGAAAAAGGACAACAATAGCGAGACACGGAAACACAAAAAAAAATGAAAGCAAAGCGGAGACAAAGAGAAAAAAGAACAAGAGATAAGGGGAGATGCACAAAGAAATGCCCAGCAACCAACAGCCAACAACAAACCAAAAAGAAAAGGAAGAGAGACTTACCGAGGAGCCTCAACCCGTCGTCAGAGTGTCGGGATTTCGAAGGTAAAAGAATAGATCTAGGCCAACTCAGAGGCTTTTAGGATAAAAGGGGCTCAGATTAGTGTCTGTGGGTGTCAAAACCGTCTTTCGGTTGGGCCCAAAATTGGGCTTCGACTTGAATGAATTGGGTTAGAGTCGCCACCGACCACTGTAAAACGAATTTAGGTGGGCCGGACACCATCTTACCTGATCTGTGTTGTACCAGAAACGTGTCGGGTTCGGGAGTCGGTTACGGTCAAGGAAGGATTAGCACCCTTACATCGCCCTTTCGGTACCAATTAATTTGTCGGTTGTCCTTAATTGTGAAATATTAGAAATTTAAATTAAAATTTAAATACCCGATTCGAACTATTTACCTTGGATCGATTGAGATTATTACTAAAAAAAGGCAAAAGAATGTTAGATAGAAAAACAAATAAATAAAAATAAAGACATAAAAACGTAAAATAAAAGTAAAAATATAATAGTAAATAAAAATGTAAAAAACAAAGAATTAAAGAAAAAAGAAATAAAGACTACAAAAAGGTAAATAAATAAAAATAAATCGAAGAAATAAAATAAAAATAAAAAAGAAATAAAATAAAAAAGGAAGAAAAATAAAAAATAAAAAAAATATTATTTTAAAAGTTATAAAATGGAAATGATGTGAAGTAAAAACAAATAATGTTAATAATAATTAAAAAACATGATAATAATAAAATAAAATAAAAATTTAGGGGTCAAATTGCAAAAAATGTAACATATAAATGGGGACCGAATTGAATCAATTGAAAATTAAGTGGCCAAATTGCATACAGTGACTAAAATGAATTGCGCTTCAAACATTGAGGGACTGCGGAGAGAATTAAACTATCCCCTAATTACAACTTAGTCCCTCCCTTATAAATAGGATAAAACCCAAAAAAATCATTATTCACCCAACATGAAAAAAAAATCCATCTCCTTCAAAAATGCTCTCCCCTTCTCCTAAATCGGCCGAAGCCCGGCCATCGCCCGATGACATCTTTCCACCGCACCGTCGCCTCACCCCCGAGATTTCAGATCCAAACCTCAAAATAGGAAAACCCAACCTCCTTGGCGTAGATCTAACGAAAACCGCTTTCGTTTTTACCTTTTTCCGACGGGCCTTTCGACTTCCGGAGGCTTTGGTTTTGTTGTTTGGTGATATTTTGCTTTGTTTGGTTCTGTTCTTATCGTTTTGTTCTAGGTTGTTGATGGTTCTCTTGTGTGATGTGATGTTGATGAGATTTTTGTGTACTGTTGTTTTCTGTGTGGTTCTGTTTGCTCTCACTGTTGTGGTATTAGGAGAGATTAAAGATTAAGAGTTTTTGAATGAAATTTTGTAATAGAGTTCATTACTCAAATTGGAAGTTGAATTTGACTTGTCATCTATGAGAATAAGAAGCTAGAAGTGTTAGAATTAAGTTTGGGTAACATGGAAAAATTGGTATGATTCTTGAATGCTATGTGGAGGAGTGGATTTTTAAGTTAAAGAGATATTGAATGAAAATTTATTAGTTTAAGTATGTATATTTGAGTTAAGAATATTAAAGGAAGTGAAATAGGAAGTGTGGAACTGAAAATGAAGTGATTTTCGAGCTCAAAATGTGATTTCTGGGCTAGGGGAATAGGTACCCATTCAAGGGGAACCGATACCCCCTCAAACGAACCAGAATTTACAGAATGTCATGGGGGAACCGATACCCCCACAGGAGGGAACCGATTCCCCCTAAAGGAAAGTTGTGAATATTGGTTTAATAGGTTCGTGTAATTTGCTAGTATCCAATTACAAGGTGTAGGTATCTAATAATTACCTTAAAATGTACATTTATGTAGATTCTAAGCGTAAAGCAATTCCAAAATATTTGGCAAGTAAGATCGATCAAGAAAAAAATAAGGGATCGGTATTGACTAGTGAGGCCAGGTGAGTGCATATTATTATAATATACGTATTTAATATAGAAATTGGACTTGCGAAAAGTCTGTTTCCAATATGATTGTAGGAGTAGAAGTATGATTATGTTTAATAATGTGTGAATATGTTTTGTTTGTATTATATGTTATGTGGTATGAATTTATATGATATGAGTTATATGACAATGATTTATGTATTATAGGAAAATTGTTATATGAACATGTGATATAAGTTATAGGATCACAAATTATGTAAGGTAACCACGACTTATGTGTTAACAAGAGAAGTGATATAAAATATAGAACAAGATATAAATTACCTGATTTAGATATAAGGGAGTAGGTGGAATCAACTTATGGGATTAAATAAAATGTGAGATAAGTTAAATAACATTGATCTATAGAACAATATGAGATTAATAGATATATATATATTAGGAGATATTGATAGAACTGGTTATAAGGATATGTAAGACCAATTATATGGTAAAGATCTATGAAGCTATAGGAAGATGTTATCGGAGCTTTTGATGGTAATTTATTAGAAGACTTGCATATGCGATAAGTATGTGAAACTGAATTAGGTAAACATGTGTAAAGGTTATATAAATAATAAAAATATAAATGAGACAAATAAGTAATGATATAATCAATTATGGGAAATTGTGCATTAGAGTTTTAAGATTTATGGAGAATGGAGGAAAACTAGATAAGACTGAACTATAAAAGGAACTGAGAATAATATATCACTTAGGAGATTTGGATATAAAGTGATGATATGCAGATAGAATATAAAATGCATGTTTATAAATATGACCATGAATGATGTGAATAGGAATAATTTAAGTACTATATAACTATGAGTATTTGAGTATGTATCTAGGCGATGTGATGTATGAGGTCGTATGAAATATTATAAGACTCTGTGATTATATGAGAAACCAAATAGGTACAGGTGAATTATATGTAAACGAACTACGTGATTGGGTGTGATCTTATGAAAATTTATGATGAGCCATGTGAATGAACTATAAGATTATGTGTATATGTAATTATGAAAAGTCATAATAATAGAATGTAAGCAAGGTGTCAAGAAATGTAAAATGACACGAAAAGTTATATAAGCTACGTGATATGTGAAAGTGAACTATGTGTTATGTGAAATGATAAGTATAAAAGAAAATGCCCATGTTATGTGTCTTGAGAGCTAGGGGTATAGATGGCATGCCAAGAGTCGAGGGTCTACGCGGTCCTTCGGGATATATATATATTCTTTGGAACATGTGTGAAGTCTTGTGAGACACATACTTGATCCCTAGTATATGTATATGATTCTTAAGGAATGATATGTGGTCCTTATGGACATTATTATATGGCACTACGGTGCAATTCTACGCGACACTCCGGAGGCAATTCTACATGGCACTTCGGTGCAATTATACGAGCTGTGGTGACAACATTAGTGCACAACCTATATAGACTCACATATCTATTGTTCTCACATGTGTACATGGGCTAATAAAGGAAATAATATAAAAGAACATTGCATGATAGTATGTGATTGGTTTGTAATCTTTATGGTGTGAAGTGATATATGTGATATGATGATGTGTATATAGCTTGGTTAAGAGGAATTGATGCAGGAACATATGACAAAAAGATAAAGAACGAAAATAAGACTAATAAAGAG